AGTGGCCTAATCTCGCGACAGCGCGAGACTAGGCCCGAGACTTGCATCGGTCTGCCGGGTCCCATCCCCCGTCGATAGCCATCGAAAATTTGGAGGTTAGTATCCTTATCCCTCCAAGTTGTCACTGATGAAAGAATTCACTAGTAACTGTATCAATACGTGACAAATGAATCGCTTCAAGGAAATAAAATTGTAATGACAATAATTATATTTTATTGATGGTTCTCTGGTTTCTCCTTGTCTGTATGGGCCATATTCAAGCTATGTAATATATACTTATAGGTACTTATAAGGAACAAACTTTAAATATTCAACTTAAAACGTATAACATTTATTAGACCAAACAAATTCTATCTCTGCTTTCAAGTATTTACCTACAAATGTATATCGGGATTCTGGGAAATAAGAATTTTGGCATTAATTTCATGGAAATAACTTTAAATTTCTTATCATCGTCACTCATCTCAATTTATTTCTAAGGTACGACATGCAATCCTTCTTGTAATGCTACCCGATAGTAATGGACTGGTCAACTGCCCTGTCTACTACATTTTGTACCTTAGTTGTAATGGACAGGGTGTGCCCTTTGAAACACCACAATTGACCACAATGTAAAGGAGCAAGGACATTGTGTGAGCTGTCTACTACTAGATACAATATTAATGTGTCTAATGCAATTATAAATAGAAAACACACAGTACGTCTCCAGTACTTCTTTCAAGTTGTCCCTCTCCTTTCTAAATTGAATCACGTTTCTGGCTGCCATATTGGGAATCGAAGTTCTTAATACCTTATTATAGCTCGACAGATGACAGATTGTACATGTATGTAGTGGTTAGTAGTTATTATAGTCACATACTACATTGTTATGTGTTGTCCATCCTTGATTTTCATGTTACATGTACTTGCAATTAGCCTACAAGGACTTGCAATAACCTTTCTGTATTGTTGGTTCACAAGTTATGGCATACCACAATGGTATCATAAGAAGCTCATAATAGTTATGTACAGCACAGTGTTTTTCAGCCTCAGATACAAGCACTTAATACACATCCTAAACTTAAAAAATTATGTGTCCTTCAAATCTTATTTTGGCATCCACCCAAGTTCCTGAAGTGTTTGAATAGTGTCAATCATTCTGTCCGTCACACGACCACCAAAAACCAATTTCATCATGGACAGAGACTTCTCAAGATACTGTACAGCCTCTGCGTGATCACCCATGTCCTTTTTTATGTAACCCAGAATGCGGAGACTTTCAGCAGTGTTAGGCCTGGGAGTGTCCTTTCCATAAAGGTTCTCTTGCATATGTAGTGCTTCTTGCACGTACTTCATCGCCATCTCATAGTTCCTTGCTTTCCAGTAAGAGATGCCCAAGCCTTCCAGGCTGACTGCTGTGTTTCCCGAGGGTTTGTTTTGGTAAAGTTCTCGGTCGATCCGCAGTGCCTCCTCAAGGCACCGGATAGCTTTTGAATGGGACCCAGTATCACTGCTTATCTTTCCTAGGTTGGTGTATACCTGGGCAAGGTTTGTCTTGTTCATGCCACTTGTCTTCAAAGATAGTTCTAGTGCCTCTTCAGCTATCTGCATGGCTAGCTCATTGTCGTCTTGCTCCCAATGAATATCGAACAAAACGTTCAAACTCTTGACGACATCAGGATGATAATTGCCGATGTGCACGTTCTGTATCATCTTCAGGGACAAATCTGCATACCAAACGGCTGTGTTGTAATCGCTATGGAGAAACGTGATGCGAGCCAGCTCCCGAAAACACGACGCCGTGATGTGGTGAGCCACATTCATGCCAAAGATCTTGTTGCACATTTTGACAGTTTTCTTGTGCCAGAAGTAGGCTTTGTCCATCTGACCCAATGAGGAGAACAATATACCCAAGTTAAATCTGGCATTCAACATTGCCAAGGGTTTCCTTTTGAGCTGTCCTTCATCCGTCTTCAGGATCATTTGTTCTATCGAAATTGCAAGCTCCTTGGTTTTGCCATGTTCTCCAAGATTAGTAGAGATCTCAGCAAGTTGTAGGGTTATCAAAATTTCCCATAGCTCTGCATCTAAATTTATCTCCAGCATGTCCAAGGCTCTAAAGCAGACCTCGCGAGCCTTGTGAAACTGACCAATGCGGATGTACAAATGTGCCAACGAAAAGCAACCATCTAGGGACAGCTGACAAAGTTCTGCTGATTCCTCAGTTACTTTCAGTGCTTCATCATATTTTCCAAGGCTTTGTAGAGTCCAGAGGTAACAGTGTGATAGTCTTTTTGGTTTCTTGTGGTATGCAGCTTTGAGGAGGGGCTCTGCTTCCTGAAATGAATCAGTCCCCTCAGCAAGTCACTGTTACAGTAGAAGTCCTGTTCTTTACCCTGAAGTTCACAGACGTCTCCAGGAAGCCCGTGCTGGAATAGTGTTAACAGCCTCAAAATGTGCTGTCCGTGTAATAATAGCGTCTCCACTTCTTCGGCCTGACTTGTAGGACAAAATGCTTCCTCACTGTGCAAGTTTAATTGTGGTCATTCTGAAGTTTGGTCCCCATTACCGTTGGCTGAATCAAGACCTGGCTGTATTTGTGAAAATGCTGATGGCTTATATGGAGGTTCAATATTTTTTAGAAGTGACACCACATTTTCTAACAGTAAAGGTGGACAGACCGTCATTGATCCCTCGTGTGTAGTTCTTTCCACCGAACTTTGATGTTCTAAAAGAAACTGTTGGATAAGCTTTGATTGTATTTCTCCAATAATAGAAGGAATGCTCGAGGTCAAGGCTGCTAATACAAAAAGATACATCTGCAAAGGTATGTTGGTCTGGTAGAAACGCATCAATAGAGAAGAAATTGGCAGTTTCTGCGGGAGGTCTTTCTCTTCGCTTTTCCGCTCACTTTGTTGTAGAATGAGGAGGGTAGTTATTCCTTCCTTTTGCCTACCATGTGCCAGATATGTCTGCAGCCGTAAGAAGGTGGCTACGCTGATTGCTACTCTCAAGTTGTGTGCCCCCGTCTCTGAGACACACTCATTGTCTCTCAGCGCGTCAATGACATCCCAGGGAGTGTTTCTCTTCGATACGAAGCAGAGTCCGAGATTGTTGATTGTCAAAGTTGGGAAGCGGTAAATCTCTTTCTTCACATCGTATTGGAAGCCAGGCCTTGAGAGAGAAATTATGTCCTCTTGATACTTCTTAGCATCTTCAAAGAGGGCAGACAATGCCTTATGAATCGCAGCCGAGTTTGATGTAGTGACGTGAATTCTTTCTTGATATTTGTCCACCAGGCTCTTGTCTCCGTCTACCCACGTGACAGTGGAGAGGATATCAGACAAGTGGTCATCCTCATCAGCCAAGGCTTGCTTCTCTTGAATAGAGGCCATCTCTGACGGAGTCATGATGAGTTCTACAGAAGCCTTTCCGTCGACCGTCTCTCTTCCCAAAGGCGTTTTGCTTGCAGAAGGCATGGCCCCGTCGAAAGCAAACCCTCTGGGCGTTTTCCAGTCATAGAGCCAGTTATCTTCTACCTCGCTTGAGTAGTAGTTGTTCAGTGACCTGATTGCCATTGAAGGGAGGATTGTTTCACCGAGATTGATCACTTTCAGATGAAGCAGTGATGTTAGGTTACGGAAATACATTTTATGCTGCTCTGTTGCTTTGTCTTCTTCAAGCAGTATTGCAAATTCGAAATCAGAATACGGTGTCATTTCTTCCCTAGCCATGGACCCCAAGCCTATGATGGCGTACTTACAGGGTGGCTGCCCCAAGGTCTCCCTGCATTCTGCTAACAGTTCCCTTACAAAGTCTTTCATTCTTCCTGCTGTGGCATGGAACAAAGAGCGCACGGCTGCCACCCAGTTTGCTTCTTTGTCTTTGACCTCACTGGATTCCATGGGGTCACCTTCGAAATCACAAATCTTCTCAGCACAACCCAACAGCACTTTGCACTCGTCTCGAATCTTTTTGAGCCGAGCTCTATGGCGAAGGTCATTACTATAAGGAAGTGAAACCTGACACCGTTGGCCCCGCACCCAAGAAAGGAAACATTTCTCGACATACTTGATTCTGTGAACCATGACATCTCTCCAGTGGTCATCTCCTGGTGCCCAGGTCAGTGCTGCGTTGTACAGCGCTGCTGCCTTGGTGAAGTGACGTCTTCTGTTTGGGGCCCGTTTGACTGCCCTTCGCAGGTAGACATCCCCCATACTTTGCAGACAGAGGCCTTGCAAACAAACATTATTATGACGGATTGCTGCCTTCAAGGCCTGTGCAAATATCCGTTCTGCTTTATCAAAGTCACCTGCGTGTAATGCTCTATCACCTGGGGCAACTGCAGAAATATATTTTGATGAATGAAAACTATGCTTCGCACAGGGAATCGTGGCCATGTTGGCACTGCAGATTGCCAGTTCCCTTTAATAAGGATGTGAAACCACTCAACTTCCGCATTTCAGTGTCCATAACCTTTGAACCATTATACACACAAAGATCTCGTACCAGGGTTTCTTCCTTCAAAGGGAATCAATGGTTAACAATGTATACATAGCATATGGAGGATTTGACTACCAGTGAAATCATAGTTTCTCAGGGATGACAGCTGCATATAACAGTTACGTCACCCAGGGCAACTGCAGAAACATATTTTGATGAATGAAAACTATACTTGGAACAGGGGGTGCAGACATGTTGGCACACTGTGCTTCTTGCCAGTTCCCTTGAATAAGGATATGAAACCACTCAACTTCCGCATTTCAGTGTAAACACAACTTTTGAACCATTACACACAAAGGTTGCACAGCAGATCAGTTTCTCCCTTCAAAGGAAATAAGTAATACAGCTTTTGTAAATTTTGTTTTGTTTTGTCTCATTCACAATTATGGAAATAAGGTTGTATTTGCTCCTGTTTCAATTGTCTTCACTTCTCAAACGACATACATGTATATGGTATGTGTCAAAGTCCTATCCTTTCTATTTCAGTACTAGTTATGCGAATTACCTTCGCAGTTACGTAATCTGTGCATATAGTATTGTTCACCGCTCACTAGATTACAAATGAATCTGTCACCAAAGGAAATAAAGACATAGCACACCCAGTACAAAACATACAAAACAGGGAGTTTTGCTGCAGTACCAAGGAAAGCTGTCAGTAAACCCACAAGCTTTGGCCTTTATCTTCCCTACCTACATACCAAATATCATTCCAATCAAAACCTTGTTATGTTGCGAATAATAATCTGAAGCACGCACAAACGGACACAAAACAATACCTCCATTTTCATACGTGTAGTTACCTTCTGTTTTCTATACTATGGCGTTGAGTCCTTAATAGATAACAAAGGTATGTAACTGTTATATGCAGCTATTATCCCGCCGAAACTATGATCTCACTGGGAGTCAAATCCTTCACATGCTATATTTGTGTTGTTAACGATTGATTCCCTTTGAAAGGAGAAGCCCTGGTATGACATCTTTGTGTATAATTGTTCAGAGGTTGCTTACGCTGAAATGCGTGAAATGCGGACGTTGAGTGGTTTCACATCCTGATTCAAGGCGAAATTTGAGTGGTTTCACATCCTGATTAAACGGAACTGCCAACATGTCCGCGATTCCCTGTGCCAAGTATTGTTTTCATTCATCAAAATATGTTTCTGCAGTTGCCCCAGGTGACAGAGCATTACAAACAGGTGACTTTGATACAGCAGAACGGATATTTGCACAGACTTTGAAGGCAGCAATCCGCGATAACGATGTTTGTTTACAAGGCCTCTGTCTGCAAAGTATGGGAGATGTCTACCTGCGAAGGACAGTCAAACGGGCCCCAAACAGAAGACGTCACTTCACCAAGGCAGCAGCGCTGTACAACGCAGCACTGACCTGGGCACCGGGAGATGACCACTGGAGAGATGTCATGGTTCACAGAATCAAGTATGTCGAGAAATGTTTCCTTTCTTGGGTGCGGGGCCAGCGGTGTCAGGTTTCACTTCCTTATAGTAATGACCTTCGCCATAAAGCTCGGCTCAAAAAGATCCGAGAGGAGTGCAAAGTGCTGTTGGGTTGTGCTGAGAAGATTTGTGATTTCAAAGGTGACCCCATGGAATCCAGTGAGGTCAAGGACAAAGAAACAAACTGGGTGGCAGCCGTGCGCTCTTTGTTCCATGCCACAGCAGGAAGAATGAAAGACTTTGTAAGGCAGCTGTTAGCAGAATGTAGGGAGACCTTGGGGCAGCCACCCTGTAAGTACGCCATTATAGGCTTGGGGTCCATGGCTAGGGAAGAAATGACACCGTATTCTGATTTCGAATTCGCAATACTGCTGGAAAAAGACAGAGCAACGGAGCAGCATAAAAGGTATTTCCGTAACCTAACATCACTGCTTCATCTGAAAGTGATCAATCTCGGTGAAACAATCCTCCCTTCAATGGCAATCAGGTCACTGAACAACTACTACTCAAGCGAGGTAGAAGATAACTGGCTTTATGACTGGAAAACGCCCAGAGGGTTTGCTTTCGACGGGGCCATGCCTTCTGCAAGCAAAACGCCTTTGGGAAGAGAGGCGGTCGATGGAAAGGCTGCTGCAGAACTCATCATGACTCCGTCAGAGATGGCCTCTATTCAAGAGAAGCAAGCATTGGCTGGTGAGGATGACCACTTGTCTGATATCCTCTCCACTGTCACGTGGGTAGACGGAGACAAGAGCCTGGTGGAAGAGTATCAAGAAAGAATTCACGTCACTACATCAAACTCGGCTGCGATTCATAAGGCATTGTCCACCCTCTTTGAAGATGCTAAGAAGTATCGAGAAGACATCATAATTCCTCTCTCAATACCTGGATTCCAATACGACGTGAAGAAAGAGATCTACCGTTTCCCAACTTTGACAATCAACAATCTCGGACTCTGCTTCAAATCGAAGAGAAACATTCCCTGGGATGTCATTGATGCGCTGAGAGACAGTAAGTGTATCTCAGAGACGGGGGCACACAACTTGAGAGTAGCAATCAGCATAGCCACCTTCTTACGGCTGCAAACATATCTGGCACACGGGAAGCAAAAGGAAGGAGTAACTACCCTCCCCGTTCTACAAGAAAGTGAGCAAGGAATCGATGATCAAAACCTGCCACACAAACTACCAGGCTGTCGTCTACTGATGCGTTTCTACCAGACCAACATACCTTTGCAGATTTATCTTTTTGTAGCTGCTACCATGAGTGGTAGCATTCCTTCCACCATTGGAGAAAGAGAAGTACAATCACAGCTTATCCAACAATTTCTTTCAGAACATAAAAGTTCGAATTCGGCGGAAAGAACTACACACGAGGGATCAATGAAAACCTGTTCACCTTCACTGTTAGAAAATCTGGTGTCACTTGTCAAAACTGTTAAAAATCCATGTAAGCCATCGACATTTTCACAATTACAGTCAGACAACGGTCATAGGGACCGAAAATCAGAACGACCACAATTAAGCTTGCACACAGAAGAAGCGCTTTGCCCTACAAGTCGGCCTGAAGACGTGGAGAAGTCACACGCACGACACATTTTGAGTATTAGGTCAGTGTTGACAACATTTCAGGACAGGCTTCCTGGAGACGTGTCAGAGCTTATGGGGAGAGATGACGACTTCTTCTGTAACAGTGACTTACTGAGGGGACTGGTTCATTTCAGACTCATGCAGTGTCAGGAAGCAGAGCCCCTCCTCAGGGCTGCATACCACAAGAAACCAAACAGGCTGCCACACTGTTACCTCTGGACTCTACAAAGCCTTGGGAAATATGCTGAAGCACTGAAAGTAACGGAGGAATCAGCAAAACTTAGTCAGCTGTCTCAAGATGGTTACCATTCATTGGCCCATTTGTACATTCGCATTGGTCAGTTTCACAAGGCTCGCGAGCTCTGCTTAAAAGCTTTGGACATGGAACCTGAATTTGATACAAAACTATCGGAAATTTTGATAAAGCTACGACTTGCCGAAATCTCTATTCACCTTCAAGAATACAGGAGAGCAGAAGAGCTTGCAGTTTGGATAGAACAACTGAAGACTGACGAAGAACAGCTTAAAAGTAAACCCTTGGGAACTACGGTTTTGAATATCAGATTTAACTTGGGTATATTGTTCTCCTCATTGGGTCAGATGGACAAAGCCTACTTCTGGCACAAAAGTACTGTAGAAATGTGCAACAAGATCTTTGGCATGAATGTGGCTCACCGCATCACGGCGTCATGTTTTCGGGAGCTGGCTCGTATCACATGTCGCCGTAACGACTACAGCACAGCCCTTTGGTATGCAGATTTGTCCCTGAAGATGACACAGAACGTGTACAGTGGCACTTATCATCCTGATGTCGTCAAGAGTTTAAACGTTTTGTTTGAGATTCGTCTGGGGCAAGACGACAATGAGCAAGCCATGCAGATAGCTGAAGAGGCACTAGAACTAGCTCTAAAGACAAGTGGCATGAATAGGAAAAACCTTTCCCAGGTATATACCAACTTAGGAAAGGTGAGCAGTAGTAGTGGGTCCCATTCCAAAGCTATCCGATGCCTCGAGAAGGCACTGCGCATTGACCAAGAACTTTATCAAAACAAACCCTCGGGAGACATAGCGGTCAGCCTGGGAGACTTGGGTATCGCCTATTGGAAAGCAGGGAACTATGCAATGGCATCAAGATACCTGCAAGAAGCACTACACATGCAAAAGAACCTATATGGAAATGACACTCCCATGTTTAACACTGCTATATATCTCCGCTTTTTGGGTTACATAAAAAAGGACATGGGTGATCACGCTGAAGCTGTACAGTATCTTGAGAAGTCTCTGTCTATGATGAAAGTGGTTTTTGGTGGTCATGTGACCAACACAATGGTTGACATTATTGAAACACTTCAGGAGCTTGGGTGGATGCTAAAATGAACAGCTTCAAAGTAGATATTAGCGGAAGATTATTCATGAAAACTCCTAGTGTATGAACTTCGTATCTTAAAACGTTAGAGATGGTTTTGTTGTTGTGGCGACTCCTCTCCACTACATCTTCCATGTATTTACTTTACTATATATTCTCAATTTAATGGTAAGGGTATTTAGTTGTATGGTATATGAATTAGTACTTAATAAGTAATTGCACATAACTGGTCCATGTAGATTAGACCATAACCTTTTGTCATATTTTTATATAGCAGATTGAAGCAAGCAAGGGAGTGGCTGGCTGCTGAGTCCTAATAATAACTAAAGGTTTCAATATAATCCTTATAATAATAATTATTGTATAATAATAACCATACCTCTAGCCACCAATGTTAACAGTTGTTTGGGGATCAAACCTAACGCTTGTACAGCATCAAGCATAAACCTTCAACCTCCTAAGGTAGCCATCTGGCACCCAATTTGTATGGACTATGGGGTTAGGCAGGAGGGAGGAGGTTAATCATGTTATATGGGACAATGAACGACCAGACAATGTAATTATGCCACACATGTATTGCAGTTTGCATATGATAGCACCATTAATGAAACAATGTTATGCATTGTTTGCCAGATCTGTGTTAATTACATATGTCAGTTCAGTTGCATTACAGTAATAACAGTTAATCTGCTTTACTGAAATGTTACTGAAATGAAACTGTCAGTAGCTAATCAGTTGCTGACAGTCACATTTCAGTACTGGTAATCTGTTAAGGGTAATGTTATGATACTGTAGCAACAACCACATCAATACTGTTACATAAACATGAATGATATACAGTAGCAGCAAACAACTGCTTAAAGCTCAAGCCTTTTCAATTTTGAGCTAATGTTCAGATTTCAGAGCCTTTGTTGGCTTGACTATTTATATATTGTCCAAAGAATTTAACACCTGTAGGGTAACAGTTAAACTACAGAGTATACATGTCAAAAGAGCTTAAACCTACTTTGATTTTTTTTCAAGGCACAGGTATGCTTATTGCCTGACAAGTTAACCTTAAGCCAGCTATGGTATCCTTTTTTTCCACTAGATGTTTTTGTTACCATTTTAGGCAGCAGGGAGTTTGAAATTCTTTTTGAGCACCTGCATAGTACAAATAGTACAAATATATATATATTTAGCTCTGTCTCTAAAAAATTAGCACATAGTTTATGATAGTAAATGTTTCATCTTACAGAGTTTAGAGGGCTAAAAATAAAACTTCCCCAGAAAATTTGTTATCATGATGGTATTTACAAGTAAAAAGTTATCACATAAATGTCAATGTTTAGCACATACCAATACTGATAATGATGAGCCACAGTACTAGAATTTAAATAAGAATGAATCAACATGTTACAGTTACTTTCTAATATTACATTTGCAAGTGTTCAAAGGTAACATTAGTGTCGTATTATATTGTACAGTAATTACATTTTTGATTAAACAATATTCACATTACAAATAAAAAAGGAACAATGATTATTAATTTATAATAAAAGCGTTAGTTGATACTTTACAACTCACACAATATAATTCTCTTTAACCTTACTCGAGGACTCTTAAAATCACAATTTGAAAGGTAAAATGCTACAACATGATTCAGAATTCTTTTATAAATCTTTCAGTACACTTTATACAAAATAAGCAGCTCATTTGAACCTGAGAATTAATGAAAACAGCTTCTACCTTCTACCTTGAATAGTGGGACTCCTATGTCTTTTGTCTTAGGAAAAGATCAGTGTTTTCAGACACTGTCTGTTGTAAAGAATGTAACTTTCAAATGTTTTTCTAGCTGCATTGTAGCCTCCTGTGCAGGCTTTCCAGCGGCTAGCCTTTATTTCTACAAGCACAGCTAGAGTGCAGCAGTTTGTTTTTTGGGGGTGACCTGTACATGGGGCATGGCTGTATGGGGGGGGGGGTTGAGAACTGAATCAGTGTCATACAGCCCTCCAATAATTTGAACCAGTACAGCCCTTACCACCATATGTATACAGCCCTCTCCCCCAAAATAAACCAGTGTGTGCTCTAGCTGTGCTTGTTGTAAAAACAAATGTTGGCCATTAGAAAGTCTACAAAGGAGGCTAGCTACAATGTACAGTTTCATAACACTGCTCTAACACCCATGAATGATTTTATTAGGTTGGTGAGTGATTGACCTGCAGTTCTTTATTCACAACCACTTGCAATTGTTTAACAAAAGCCGACATTTCAATGACCGTTTGTCATCCTCATAAGAGATGACAGTACATGACTGTATGTCATCATCTGTCATCTTCATCCCGATATTCACCAGTTTCCCATCCCCAAAATGCAATGCGAAAATACGGGGGTAACCCTCATTTGCATAGGACTGGAAGGCAGTAACTATGGTTTGAATCTGAAAACAAATAGAGAATGAATTTTTTGGGAATATGTGGTTTGTAACATTATACCACTTGGTAACACTATACTGATGCTGTAACATTACAAACCGCATGTTCTATGTTGAAAAGAACACTAAAACTTCATTCTCTATTTGTTGTCAGATTCGGCCCATAGTTATTTAATTAAAATGCCCCAAAATCTCAAAACACAGTGAAAAGCAAGCTGTTTAACATCAACAGGATCATTCCGATGCCTTCCAGTCCTATGCAAATGAGGGTTACCTCTGCATTCTGGGGATGGGAAACTGGTCAATAGATGACAAACAGTCACCGAAATCCGGCTCTTGTGGTTGTAAATAAAGAACCTTGTTATTCACTGTGTCTAGCAGTCTTGGATGAAGGGAGTCCACATCAGTCTACATTCAGTAGTGCAGCCAGATGTTCACTACCAGGGTCCTTCCTCAGTGCCTGGCGGAACACATAGAACGCCTGGTCTCCTCTGGTGAGTAACGTGTCCAACAGGTGGTTGTTACGGTCTCGTCTGGTGTGGTACGCCTTCACCACCTCCTCCTCCATGTGGGGGGTCAGGATACCCCCTGCCACCAGGGGGGGTACCACCACGCTGTGATGGAGGTCCTGTAGGAACTGTGGCCAGTTGGTCGTCAGTGCCTGTTTGTGTTGGTCGGACATGGGTACTGGCTTTGAGTTCTCCTCGTAATGGATGACTTGGAATTTTTGAAGCTCCTTTTTGAGCGACACTACAGTTTTATCCTTTTCTGTCAGCTGAGAGCTGTGCTGTTCTTTTAGATGAGATATTTCTTCTTTTTGCTGATTTATCTCTTCTTTTTGTTGATTTATGTCTTCTTTTTGTTGATTTATCTCCTCTTTTTGTTGATTTGTCTCCTGTTTCAACCGATTGTTCTCTTGTCTCAACAGTTCTGTTTCTTCTTCTTGCTTTCTCAGCTTCTCTTTAAGGCTTTGATTCTCTTCCTTAGGGTCTGTAACCAACTTCTTGGGACTTGTGGGGGTATTTCTTGTCTTAGACAACAGTTCTGGCATCGACTCGGAGTGCGTTACTGCGTGGTCACTCTGTAACAGGTTGTTCCTCTTCATTTTCTTCAGAAAGTCTGCCACTTTCTGGTGGTCGTTGTGCAAGGCCATGTCTAGTGGTGAGACTTTGGTCACTGGTGTTTCCACATCAATGTCTGCCCCAGCTTCTAGCAGTGCTTGTACTGTGGCTAGGTTCCCCCTGTCTGCAGCTAGGTGAAGTGCAGTTAGGCCATCTTTGTCGGGTTTGTTCAGAATTTGTGGAAGGGACAGAAGTTTGACCAATTCTGTGTTGCTATTAGCTGCAGCAAAGTGAAGCGGGCTATGGCCGTCACTGTCGAGTGCAGCTCTGTTGGCGCCAGCTTGTACCAACGCTTCTACGGTCTTTGTTCTCCCTTGCTCTGTAGCCAGGTGCAGGAGAGAGGAGCCATCTTTGGACTGATTTGGGTCAGCACCATAGGCGAGCAACAGCTCGACTATCGGCAGGTTTTCTTCTTTCGTACTTGTCATGGCTACGTACAGCGCAGTTTCGTTGTACAGCGAATCTTTCGCGTTCACCTCGGCCCCTGATTCCAGGAAGACTCTGCACATTTCAAGGTCACCTTCAGACACAACGTGGAACAGCAATGGTGGCTGGTAGACAGCTCTGCTTTTCCTATTGGTCCCCTTCACCTGGTTAAAGATCTTTGTGCTGCCAAGAGGCCATACTGCGAACATGCGCATGTTCACATCACAACCTGCCTTACACAACAAGGTGATGATCTCGCGTTGTTGCTGCTTTTCGTTGGGGCTGTCAGAGCGTAGTTTCAAGTTCATGGCTACTGCCATATCCCAGTCATTTGGGTCTCCAGATTCGATTGGACTGGCCCCGCTATGTAGCAGTCTGTCAACTAGGGCTACTTTAAAAGAGCAGATCGCATATGTTAGGGGAGAATGCGGTCTGATATTGACCATGGCCCCTGCTGCCAAGATGGCCCCCACCATTTCAGGTGTACCTTTCTCACAGGCATACTGCAACGGGCTGACCCACTGCTTGTGTTGGGCCCTTTGTAAAATCTTCCTCTTTAAGGGCACTTGGTAGTTTAGATCTGGCCTGTCATCCTTGGATAGAAGCTTGATCAGTTTGGTCATGTCACGTACCTTGATGGCGTGTAAGACATCCCGAAGCTTGTTGATCAACTTTCTGTCCTCTGCTTTAGGAAGCTTGGTCAGTTGAGACGTTTTTAAACTCATTGTTATCAACAGTTAAACTTCGTTGAAAACCAGTACCTACTTCAGAAATAGCATGGGCTCCAAGTACAGCCCTCTTTCTTCACTGGCAGTGGCTTGTTGAGGTAAAATTATTCTTAAAAGTTCCAGGTAACCTACTTGTCTTCATAATACTTTCCAACAAATACAAGAGACGATACCTCGACCAGGAAACATTGGAGAGCGGCAAGAAGCACGTAAATCAGCAGGATCTAGTGCCTCGCCCTTTCCTTTCTTACAGGAAATCATTTTCATTAATACGTTACCTGTCCAACCTGTCAAAGGTTAAAGGGCACAAGTGGTAAGTGCATTGACCTTTCGAGGAACACACGCCTTGCAGTTTGATACTAAACAGCAAGGTGGCAGTTGTACACTGTGATGGCTTCTAATGGGAGATTTCTAATGGCAAAGAAAAATTATCAATGATGGCAAAGACCATTGGTTGATCAACTGAAACATTACTGATGGACATATATTTTCATACAGGTTACATTTTGTCAGAAAAAAAAAGGCTCTTGTTGTTGGAACAGGTGTATCTGTTCTAGGGAGGGGCAGTATGGGTGGTCAGTTTTGGCGGGAAACCTGAGCGGTGTCCGGTCAAACGAACACCTGTCGTCCGTGTGTCACCCTCCCAGGTCGAAAAAGTGACCCTGTGGTCAACTAACGTCTTTCCTGTCAGCCCCTGACCGATATAAAATGGACATCCGGAAAATGTGATATTCACGCTCCTAGTGTAGCCTTTCTATGAGAAGACGTTTTCATTGGATAGACCTTCGTGTGAGGTCATACCTTCTGTTGGTTTATAACAAGAACATGATCGCAAAATTATAAAAACTTTGACATGGCTAAAACAATTGCATTCAGGAATGTAAAATAAAACTTGCAGAAGTAGAAGAAACAAGGCCTAAATGTTCAATTTCAGAATGTTTTAAGGGCATTCTACTTCTTGTATTTCTGAATGTAACGTATGACAAAGACTAGATGATTATTACTAATACATGTACTGTACTAATATTGGTGTGGTGAAGGAATTCGAGACCGTTCGATCTTTGAAGTAACAGAGCCAGCTACTGAAGCATCATATGCTACAATGCGCGACTAAATATACATCACTCGAATGCAGATTGTACCCATATTCTCATTGCCCTCTGGGTCGCCCTCTGCTGTTCCAAGGCCACATGACATCACATGTTGTACGCGAGACCCCGCTGAAAATTCCGACGACGTGCTTGTCATATCAATGTTGCAGTACTCCCTTTACCCGCTAGATGCCGTATTAGGGAGGGGGCTTGGTTTTGACCACACAATATACGGCTAGCTCAGGAGTACGGCACACATATACTTGACCGGTCAAGCACTTGGCACCACGGCCTTTGTGATAAACATAGGTAAGGGCAAATATTACTTTCTTCCTTGCTATCAGCCTATTGTCTTTTAGGACGCTGGCAAGATCTCAGTTTTTGAACTTTGATGCGAGTATCGCAAAAATGAGGTCACTAAAACTGAGAACATCCAAACGGCATTCTATAGGAGTCTTTTAGTCTGAATTTTGCCCTTAAATAACTGTGTTTTCATGTAGAGTGTACAAGAGGTAGTTAGTTGACATGTAACGCTGTGTGTCAAGCATTTGATAACGCCATGTGAAACTGTGTATGTCAGGACCTATAAACGTTCTGTGTGTCAAGCGGTGCTGCGCACTTACACAGCCTTTAGCGTGTGCCTGGCCGCACGACATGTTACAAGGAACATATGTGGCTCTCAGCCAAGGCTAGCTTTGAATTACAAACCGGGCTATGGCCGCATGACATAACCATGTTAGGGAACAGCAACACATCACGGAGTACTAGTAACCTTCCATATTTAACCTTCTAACTTCTGAAGTAGCCTTTTGGTAGCCTCCATAGCATGCCAAAAACTGGGGGTTTTAGGGGGGCCTTCAGGGTCTTTGGGAGCTTTTATGTGCTATTTTCTGATTGCATATAGACAACATAGCCGGCCTGGTTGAATTACCCCCGTTTTTTAGAACTAGGTTAATCAGAAAAAAGCCGAAGACCACCAAACCCCCAGTTCTATATGCCTGCTACGGAGGCTATAAACCTTTTGGTACCGAATTCGTATTTAGGTACATGGTTAGGCAGCAGGGAGAGACCATGGCGTTTATAACATCTGTGGTGCATTTAGGAAATCAAAGAGACACGTTGAATTCGAAGAGATAGGTTTTAATACAGCGTTAAACGTTTTATAACGTTACAACATTGAAATGTAAGATATTTAGATTAAAATAATATGTTCTAACGTCTCTAATCATACACAATTTGCGTTGTTCATTTAGTATACATTGCTCGAGCTCGTAGTATGCACCTTGGTAAGGTTGAGTGGAGAACAAACGCACTCACAAAAACTATTTGCGGATTAATTTTTGATAGCGTTAGCGATATTAAAATATTGGTGGAAGCGTTTCTGACGATGGTCTTACTCATATAGGCGTATTGAACCATATTAGCAGATTCCCTTTCAGTATGTGATATGTTATTGATATTTTGCTAATACATGTACATGCGTGTGAGCATACAGCAAGCGATTCAATATGAAAGGGTATCTACTAACAGAACTTGGTAACAGAGCTCCCCTTTTCAAGACGTCACTTTTGTGTCTTTTTTTTCTATTCTGACGTTCAATGTCGGTGATTTTAACATTCAATGTCGGCTATTCTGACGATTTAGGATATAGAAGAAGAACTTTATTGCACGACAATTGTACAGGGTACATTGTACATGGCAAATAGGTAACAATAAGTAGCATAGTAAAATAGATAGGTATAGAATCAAACTTAACAACTTATATATAGAAAAGAAATAATCAAAAGTTAGCTTAGGCTTTACAATCAGGCGGAGTTATCTATGGGTACATGTGACAGCAAATCAGTATTCTTTCTAATAACAAAACAGTCTTTTATGTATTTACCTATTTTTGCATTGTGTGGGTTGTTGCATTTAAATATATATGTTTAACGTTCTCTCTCCTGCTGAACGTCGTAACGAGTATAGAACTAGTGGTAGTCTACATCAGTGTGTGAAAGGTTAACCCGCCAATTTCAGAGGAGAACTCCGTAAACGCAGACAGCTGTTGTGGTGTTATACATACAGATCATGATTTATTCCTGGACCAGATATCTTGACACGTACAAGTGGCTAGGGCTATCGCCCGTCCGCCATGTTTAGTTGCCGGCTGTGTCAAGGGCGGACAGAGTCAAAACAAGACCCCATTCTCACGCCCGGGGCACGCCGGGAATGCTAACATCCAATATCCACATAAAAAGTCGTCTGAAACGTAAATCAGTCGGTAACCAGATGTCTGAAGCACTGATATGTTTTCAGTTCGGCTAGCTTTTTGGTGACGAATGGATTAAACTGGAAAAATATCCATGCTTCATAGCGCTGACTACAAATGCAGTCTCGTAGTATTTCTACAGCTAGCAACAGCTCCTTTCCACGAATTGCAAAGTTATGGAGCTCTCTCAAGAATACAACCCTCAAAACCAACGTCTACCGCAATCTCCTACTATAGTATAGTCATCTGTACCTCCCATCAACTTTAATAGTTCAGTGTCCCTACGTGGCCTTTTGTCATCGATCAATCAATGTATATGACCTGAAACCTGTTCAAAAAGTAGAGAATTGCTATTAGACATGATTTACCATTTACGAGGCAAAGATGGTGGATAATTTACTGATTTCTACGTTGACTCTCCGTGCTTGATTATCCCTACTGAAATCAAGCAAGTCTTGTTTAAATTTTATAGTCCAATTCCAACTAGCCTCCTTCGCAGTGTTGTTGGGCGTCGGCGTTATTTTTTCTCTGAGCGACGCGAGTAATATGCGGCCACAAGGGACGATTTGCTGCCGAGGGAGTTTTTGCCACGGAGCGCGAAACCTTCTCTCCGTGGCAAAAACTCCCTCGGCAGCAAATCGTCCCTCGTGGCCGCATATTACTCGCGTCGCTCAGAGAAAAAATAACGCCGACGCCCAACAACACTGCGAAGGAGGCTAGATTCCAACGGTGGCACCTAAGGCCATACTGATTTGATTATATGGATGACATCAATTGGGCAAAAACTGATGCGAGCGTGCGAAGAAAAAAGTTGTCATTTTGAAAAAATCTAATTAAGCAGTCAGGAATTCGAAGTTTTAACAGATGACTGAACACACAGAGCATGGTATACCAAACCTAATTGTTGTTCTCTTATATCTACTTTGACTTTGGAAGACTTGGTGGTGCAAGCACGTGGCAATTTGAGCCCTTATTTTAATCCTCTTGTATCTTCTTTTTTTCCTTCGACCTCGATCTGTCAACTTTCAAATACAATACGGTCGCAAACTTTTCTTTTAATTTCAAGGGACGAAAATGGATGTTCCGATCTGTCACGCATATATGTGTGTATAATCATATTAATGACAACTTTATTGACACAACAAAAGTACAGAGACTTTCGTAAGGTCTAAAACTACATGTAGATATACAGACAAATACATGGGTACAACGAAATTAACCTACGTACAAAACAATAGATGAGGCTACTAATATTACTTGTAAAGGTCTAAACATTCTTTGATATATTTACCTATTTGTACACAGTAAGGGTTATTACCTTCTAGTATGAAATTGAATTTATCTATAGCATGAAATTCTGTTGAGCAAGGTCTAAAAATTCTTTGATATATTTACCTATTTGTACACAGTAAGGGTTATTACCTTCTAGGATGAAATTGAATTTATCTATAGCATGAAATTCTGTTGAGCAAGGTCTAAAAATTCTTTGATATATTTACCTATTTGTACACAGTAAGGGTTATTACCTTCTAGGATGAAATTGAATTTATCTATAGCATGAAATTCCGTTGAGCAAGCGGAGAGAAGGTTGAACATAAAGTATATCCCAAGAAGGCTGGGAACCAGGCTAACGCTTGATAGCAGCTAGTGTATGTGTCTTCCAGTAACTAGTTTGATACGTCCCACACTTCATGTCACCGGACATGTGACTACCCCTTATCAGCTCGCCGGTGCGTGTGTGTGTGTGTGCGGTGTCTGTGTTTATGTTTACATTAGATCGTGACCTCAGACAAGCCAGGTCACCGGGGACTGCCGACAGACGACAGTAATGAACAGGGTCTCTAGGGGGCGCTTTGACAAGAGCCAGCTCCACAGTGCAGGTGGAACGTTTCAGAGTTATCATGGTCCAAGAATCTGGCTGAAAAGAGACTATATATAT